CTCTCTCTCTCTCTCTCTCTCTCTCTCTCTCTCTCTTCGTCATTACTGCCATCGACTGAATTTTTTTTGGTACTTTTTTTTTCGCTTGCTTGAGATCCACCCACTTAGAACCCTGAGAGCTCAGGGTCCTCGACTTCGCTTTCTCGAGCATGCAAAGAGACCCTGCAGGTAATGAAAATTTTCGATCAAGGGCGTAAATGAACAACAGCGGACTGGTGGGTTTCGAGGGTAGTAATTATGATACTATACTATAGGTAGTGTCGATAAGTCACTGTGAAGACACTGTAGTAATGCCAGTGGATGATTACAACGACTGGATGCAGTTAGCCCTGTCTATGGTGTGAAAGTAAGAAGTTAATCGAGAGAGAGGACAAAGTGTTGTGATTCGGCAAGCCAGAAGTTAGAGTCTAAGGTCGGGAAATCCTAATCTTCGTAGCAGACGTCAGATACGTGACGGATGCCCTCAAATACAAGAATTTTTGAAGACTACATAGGAAATATTAAAGACAACGAACCATGATGAGAGTTTCCAAGAACATCCTTCAAACGATGATTCATGGCCAGAATTTCTCAGCTTAAGTAAATAATACCATTGCCTGCGAAAATGACAAACAGACCCATGACTGCGGGTCCCAAGATACGTAGTTTCAGCGTGTCGAGCTGCCGGCACGGAGAAAAGCGCAGTAAGGTCCTATTGCTTTCTCCGGTTTATGCTATGCAGAAGCCAGTCGATCCATCAGCTTGACTGGAGATCTGCTTTCTGTGTTTAGCAGCGCTCCGAATATTCGTAGTACAACAAACCATAGTGAACGGCTGACTTTCATGACACTTTTACGAAAAGATCATTATCTCAAAAAAAATCAAGCGATGAAGATGTTTAGTTCTGTGAAAGCTGTGTGTAGTAACAAACAACATAACTTTATACAGATGTGCTACTAAAGGATGAAGGCACACATTTTGGGAATCGTCCCCAAATCGAAATGTCGAGGCCTTACAAACTTGTCATCTCGGTTTGAGACACTGAGTGGTGTCTAACGTAGATATACTTTACGCTTTTCTAAAGTAAGGCCACAAGATCAAGCAGTCACAGCCGTATTTCGTGCGAGTTCGATGTCTAAGCCTTTTCATTTTCTTAGCGTGCTACTATTATTTAAATTGTCTTGTTCCTCCCGCAGCTATGCGGAAATTTGCTGATATGAACATTGCATTGCTACCTCGCGGAAATAATTATACGAAGACAAGACTATCATTGTGTTTGGATTAGCATCCCACAACAAACTACCCTGTGATTGGAGTTCTCTGCTTTCTCGCCAGAGAGTTAGGACCTATAATTTAAACATTGGTTTATTCGACTTGAAAGAGGCTGTGATCAACCGAAGAGTCGAACGAAAGGGTACACAAGTAAGTGAGTATAGCGGTATTCGATAGTTGCAACACCCTCTGTACTGTTGCGGCTCCAAGTATGAAAAGTTTAATTACTCTGTTCTCATTTCAACGGTCGAGCAACGACACTTCATCTGACGCCCCACTCACTCAATGTTCGTAATTGCTTTAGAATGCAGCAGCTCTCGCAATTGCTTTAGAGCGCTCTTTACACTTCGCACCACTTTTGTCGCTCGCAAATGTTTAACCATCAACTTTCGCCTAGTGTTTTGCGATGCTTATTGGCACTCGTGGGTGTCGAATAGAGTGATGTGCCTTTCTTGCAGCGGTCGAGAGTTGCGTTCTTGAAACTTTCCGCAGCCTGTTGGTGAATTGGTTTCGCCACAGGCACATCTACAACCAATTTGCAAAATTCGCAACTGCTCAGAAATGCTTCCCAGGTCTCGAGGCAGCGTGTAAGAGTCTCATGGTTGCGTTTTAGAAACTGCGACCTTCCACTTCAACTTGACTCGCTCTTTATTTGCTTAACCACTGAAAGCTGTCCAGCGATGATCTCAATCTCATGCTCATACTTAACGTCTTCTTTTCCACTCTCCAGAACCACACATTATTGCTCATAATGTCTCAGTTGTGGTGCTACCTCCCACACTTGATCTACTTCCAAACGTTCGCTGTTGCTCAGGCATGCTGACGCCCTCTAAAATATGCGATGTCAGTCGTTTAATTAATCCTTCGAGTATTCACAGTCCCTCACTAATGTTCGTGATTACTTCACCATGCCGTCGGGTTTCGCCTCAGGTCATTTTTACCCACACTGACACTGCTGTGGCGTGGACCTTTGCCAAAACGTGCCACTCACTACACCACGAGCTCCCATGCACCCACATAACTACCTCTAAAGCTAGTCTTAAAAACGTATGTGCACCTTCTGCTGAAAACGAGGTGCAAAATTTTTTACTCAATCCCACGCACAGTTTTCGGAATCACAACACACATGCGTTAATTCCAACTATACCCTCTTATTTTCGCCTACGGCCAAGACACCTTTACTGAATTCTGCATCGTTTGCCCTTCCGTAAATTTTCCAATATTCGTGCAACTCACAATGCCAAGAATTTTTTTTAAGGCTCGGCAAATTGGTACGAAGTAGAAAATTGAGCTAAGTTCATAGACCTAGGGAATGCGCGAGCGAATGCAATTGAAAGATGATTTTATTATCCATGATGTTTCCATTCCACGTGGAACAATGTAATAATCAAGCGCTGTAATTGATGTTATGATTATTACCTTTGCAGACATGCTTGCCCTGAGATGAGAGGGTGCTCAAAAAGTATAAGTAGCGCACGTCGGGGAATTGATGCGCTGGATATTCGGGCAGAAGTTGTTCTACAAACAGCAGAAACCCCACCATGCTTTCTGCAATTCTAGCGCTATTGGCGGCCTCACTGGCTGAGGCTGCTCCAACATCTGCCGCGCAACAAATACTCTCACAGGCGGACGTCTCAAAAATCGGCAAGCAAGAAGACATCTTCCCATATTTGGCTGGCTCTGCTCCTCACTTCTCATACCCGTTAAGCTACGGTATCCCAAAGGATGTTCCTGAGCAATGCACCCTCCAGCAAGTCCAGCTATTTGCAAGACATGGGGAGAGATATCCTACACAGAGCGTGGGTTCCAAAATTGCCAGCACTTACTACAAGCTCGGCAACTACTCGTCAGACTTGAGCGGAGCCCTATCCTTTATCAACAACGACTACGAGTTCTTTGTCCAAGACGCCAATAACTTCGAAGAGCTCACCACCTGGGACAACATTCTAGACCCTATTAACCCATACGTCGGTGAATGGGACGCCCAGAAACACGCCCGTGAGTTTTTGTATCAATACGAGGAGCTTCTTGGCAACAAGACCTCCTTCCCTATTTTCACCTCTAACTCCAAGAGAGTTCACGACACTGCCAAATTCTTCGGCAAGGCGCTCGGTGACAAGTACAACATCAGCTTACAAATCATCGACGAGGATCCTTCCTCTGGTGCAAACACTCTAACTCCAATTGACTCTTGCACGGTCTACAACGAAACCGAAAAAGCGGCTGTGTACTCCAAGTTCACGGACAAGTACTTGACCGACATTGCCCACAGATTGAACGACGAAAACAAGGGTTTGAATCTAACCAAAAGTGATGCCACCAACCTTTTCTCTTGGTGTGCTTACGAGATCAACGTCAAGGGCTACAGTAACGTTTGTGACGTTTTCACGGCCGACGAGTTGACATACTTTGCCTACTACGACGACTTGACCAGTTACTACTACCACGGTCCTGGTAACTCCTTGGGACCTACTGTTGGTTCCGTCAACTTCAACGCGTCTTTGGAATTGTTGAAGCAGCACGAGCAGCTTGACAACAAAGCTTGGTTGAGTTTCACCCACGACACCAACATCGTCAACTACCTCGGTTCCATTGGTATTTTCGACCCAGGTCATGCCATGCCCGTCGACTACGTGCCAATCAAGGACCATATCTACCACAAGTCCTGGATGGTTCCACAAGGTGCCAGGGTTTACACTCAATTGTACCAATGCTCCAACCAGTCATACGTGAGATACGTCGTCAACGACGTGGTGATTCCAGTCGAGAAGTGCTCGTCTGGTCCTGGGTTTTCTTGCGAGTTGAACAGCTTCATCGACTATGCGCAGTCCAGAATGAACGGATCCAACTACGTGTCTGCGTGTAAGATCAACAGCTCGAGCAACCAAACGTCTCTCACCTTCTACTGGGACTACGAGCAAAAGCAATACAACGCCAGCTTGATCCACAAATAGAGCAACTACGCGCTACCAAAAAGCACCCCTATGTCTGCTTGATTTACCAATAGGCATACCAAATAGACCAAATACTATTACATACTTTTGAGAAATTTAGAATTTAAGAAAACCCTCTAAGGCAAAGCTTTATGGGCAATCCGCACACCAGTGCGAGCCTTCATAAACTTGATTGCGTCCCACTAGCTAGAGGCAGAAACGAGCTCTGAAGAATCGCTCCCAATAGTGCCAAGAAATTATACCATCTTTAAAATATGCAATAATAGAGATAAAAAAACCAAAAAAATCGCTGGCGCTCGCCCTTGGCACATTGCCTCACCTAAAACAATGATACGGAACGCTGCGACCTACAAAGACCTAGAAAACACTCAGATGCTCAACCAGCTTTCTTCCGAATCTCATTTTTTCGCTTCTTACCTTGTAGGTTATTAAAGCCAGAAAGCTTGGCGATAGGATATAATTAACGAAAAATTTTATTGGTACATAGCGACGATGGATGAGCCATGCAGGGATGGAAATTATATGTCGCGCATTGTATAAGAACTCGGAGTGATGGTAAAGCACTAGCCGTGAGTTTTTGTGATTAGCGTGCTAGTAATTGAGGATCTTTCTCTCGGAAAACATGGACAGCAACAGCTCCGAACCTTGGTGGACACAGTGGAACCCAGACGAGGTGACTATTGGCGATGAAACGGTGCCGGATGCATGGAAAATCTGTGCTATCCAGAAAGTGTATTTCGGATCCACAGAGTACGACGGTGCATTGGGGGCTCGGATCTCGTCCATTTTTGTCATTTTCTTTGCGTCGACGGTGTGCACGCTGTTTCCGGTGGTAGCGGCGCGGGTCAAGCGTCTGAGAGTGCCGCGTTTCGTGTATCTGTTTGCACGCTACTTCGGCACTGGAGTGATCGTCGCGACAGCGTTTATCCATCTTTTGGATCCGGCATACAGTGAAATCGGCAGCAACGCTTGCGTGGGCCAGGTCGGCCACTGGGCAGACTATTCCTGGTGCCCGGCCATTGTGCTATTGACGGTTTTTGTTATCTTCATTGTGGATCTTGCGAGCGATGTGTACGTGCATCGCAAGTTCGGAGTCCGTCACAACCACGGCGACGAGATTGAGGGTGTTATAGTAAAAAGCCCTACTACTGCTGGCGACGCAGCTCACAGATTAGACGTTGAAAGCCTGGGACATGCCGCGAACACTGGCGATGAAAAGAGCAAGACCTCTTATGACGTTATCTCGGATACTGCCAGTTCTGAACTAGTCGTACAATCGTTTGAGAGTCAGATTGCCGCTTTTTTGATTCTGGAGTTTGGCGTTATTTTCCACTCCGTCATGATTGGCTTGAATTTGGGCACCACGGGTGACGAATTTTCTTCTCTATATATCGTTCTGGTCTTTCATCAATCTTTCGAAGGTATGGGAATTGGTGCTAGGTTGTCGTCCATACGGTTCCCAAAGGGCAAAGAATGGTGGCCATACGCTTTGTGCATTGCTTACGGACTCTCTACACCCATATGCATTGCTATTGGGCTTGGAGTCAGACGCTCCTACAACGGAAATTCCTTCACGGTCAACACTGTCTCGGGGGTTCTAGACGCCATTTCCGCTGGTATATTAATATACACCGGTCTCGTCGAGCTGCTGGCCCGTGACTTTATTTTCGACGAAAACAGAACTAACGACATTCCAAAACTGCTATTCATGGTAGGCTCCACTCTGTTGGGTGCCGCCCTCATGGCTTTGCTCGGCAAATGGGCATGAGACTTGTATTATTAAGGAAAAGATTATAGAAAATGACATCAAAAAAGGCGAGCTACTAAAATTGCCAATACGGCGAGGGAAAATGATTGTAGAAGGGGATATTACACTATCATGTATTTTAGATAGGTTTATCTTTTGCCTGCTGCTTTTTGGCAGTATAACGATTCCAGGAGAAACAGGCTTTCAAGGAAAACCAGGCATTCTTGCCTAGTATTATGAAATAAGAACAAGATTTTAAAGAAACAAGCCACATTGAGTTGAGCTCAAGATCATCTTTGAGTTTTAAATTTTGAGTCTCTAAATTGCGTTCGTTTTGACTGTGTGTAAATGCACTGACTAAATAGTATCGTAGCATCCATAACTTAGCGCCACGACGAGGAAAGTCACGTAAAATTTGCAGGCCAGTAAAGTGCTACTAGTGCAGAATTGAGTGCCAAAGAAATGGCGATGCCATTCAGCATGCGGGCTTTTGCTTAAAACAGGAACCATCGGTCCTTCCCTCGAATTGATCACGATATGGTTGCGACAAGGTTAAAGCTGTCAATGCTTTAGGCGGTGATCAAGACAGAAATGGGGTTAGCTGACGGTGGTTCAACTGGAATAAATCGCATTTCACCACTAATCTTACCATATAACTAGAAACACTTTCACTATGTGTGTTGGTAAGTTCCCGGACTAACCGTCGCCCAGCAAGCGTGCGAATCGCCTAAAACATAGCTCTTGGCATCAATACAGAGACAGTATTCATGTTAGACAAAGCGACTCACAAGACATTATAGCGTAGCGTAGCATACTGTACTGAATGGGCCAGCTCAACAAACTATTTATTTTGTCATCATTTCAACGGCGTTGATCAACTGAAGTCAAGGGTCTTACGATTGGACAACAGGTAACCAAAGGAGAACCCATCAACGTCATTAGAGTTCTGAATTGATCCAATACAAAAATAATTATGGTTGCGTATCTTTCCGCCTTTGTTGTGCTCTCAAAAAACCTCAGCCAAGGCAACTTGGTACTAGATTGGGTGAAAATCGAACTTTTTAAGATTAGCATGTCAGAAATGTTCTAATTGATACTTCGAGTTTGACGAATCTTTGATACACCTTTCTTTCCGTGCTATCTGTCGCAAGGTTCCGACATAGTACTTGATAAGGGCAGGCATGGCAGGTAATTCGATTTAACACATAAAGGGCTCTTATATAATAGAGACCGTCGATCAAAACAAGAGTCTGCATCAATGTTGCCAGTAGATTCATCGTTCTTAGCAAGAACATCATGTCGTTTTACCCATCATCTAAAGAACTACCTGCTTTAGGGGCTCTTTGCCTAGATTACACAGATGATATCCACCGGCCACCAGGAGACCCACTGAATGCCCTGTCTTTCCCATTCCCTCTCCTTTTTGAGAAAGTCCAGAAAGCCTCTCTGTGGAATGTTGTCAGTTCAAGGGAGTATCCGGATGAGTTTCTCCAACAGTTCGTCGACGCATGTGTGAAGTTGGCAAATCGGGGAGCTGTGGGAATAATAACTTCCTGCGGATTTCTATCGCAAGTGCAAAAAAGAATCGCCGGAAAAATACCCATTCCCATTGCCACAAGTAGTCTTCTTCAGGTACCGCTGCTTCTCGCCATGCGGCCAGAGAGCGAGCACATAGGCATAATAACTTTTGATAGCAGCACACTGGGCGATGTTCACTTTGAGGGAATCGGTGTTACAAAAGAAATGAGGGAAAGAATCTCAGTTATTGGATGTCCCGATGATGGGGCACTGAGGGGAGTTATTCAATACGGGGATGCTTATATTCATGAAGAACTTGAAGCAGAAATTGTGGAGTGCGCTCAAGAGCTGCTGATCCATGATCCAAAAATTTCTGTATTCGTTCTCGAATGTACCCAAATGCCGCCATATGCGCAAGCTGTTTTCCGTGAAACAGGGCTTCCTGTCTATGATGTTATTACTATGATTGATTGGTTTTATTCAGGGTTGGAGCCAAAAACTACCTTGCCTGATGATAACAAGGACGGAGGAAAGCGAAGGAGAGCGAGGGATGCAAAAGAGCTGGTTAAGAATTGATCATCAAGGTACGTGCTGGATTCTTTCACCTCCTTCAGTATCAACTTGTGTACTTGAAAGAAGACCTACCCGTCGTTGTAGCAAATTTCGTCTAATGATCGGTGGCTCTTAATAAGTTGCCTTCTCTTCCCACTTTGTATACTGTGCAATTACCCACCTTTGTCAATATTCTTCGTAAAATACTTCATACGTTTCTATGCTTCTTTATCACAACCGTGATTAACACTTTTCATTCCTCCGATTACAGATATAAGTTTTGGAGTAGGCGGTAACTGCATATTTGTGTAAGGCAGCTACAGATAAAAAGAGCTTCAACTTATCACTGTGCTTGCTGATCTGTCGAAATTTAGTTCTTGATGGAACTGTTGTCAAACGCAGATTTACCAGGCTTGCATCTTAGATTCTATTGCAGCAAGAATAGAGGTGATTAGCGTATCCTATTTGTTTGTTAAAATACGTGGTTCTAAAATCTTGATTCATAACGCATTTTGGCCCGAAGCTAGATCAGTTAGACAAGAGTCTCTTCACCAAAATACTTGAACAGTGCTTCGATTATTTCTCGTCAATCGCTTTCTTGAATGCATTATGGCATGTGAGCTAGTTCACACACACAACTACGGTTTCCACGTAGTAAATGTTCTCGGTCGTTGGAATACAGTCAAATCTCTCAAGAACAGAAATTAAATGAGTTGTAACGCTCATTATGAGCGTTAGGAGGAACGCTATCGAAAAATTAAGGTTACTTGTTCCGCCTCATACTTGATCGCTCATTTTCCTCAGACGCGTGTCAATGTGTAGATGCCAACTACAGTAAACAACTCTGGCACAATAGTCTCCTCATAAAATAACTGAGTTTATTTCGAGTCCGTCAGTTTAGAAATTCCTATTGTAATGACCGCACCTGCTATAGTTTAAAGATCTTATTCGTCTTGGTTTTTCCGAGTATACTCTCGCCGTTGCTGGAAAGTCTGAAACTCCTGACAAAAAAATCTTGACCAGATGCCACCATTACCAAATACGAACCAGTACGTCTGCTACGATGTAAAGATCACTACGAAAAGGATCGACATAGATATGCTCGTAAACCTGCAATATCGGTTAGAATCCCTTCCCCTGCCGTGAGAGATTTCTTTCACCGAGGTCGTGAAAATTGATAGCTACCTTGAGTAGTAGTGATTCGAGAAATTGCAACTTCTATCTCACCACTTCTACGTGGAATACATCCGCTGTTTAGTAATACAAATCTCCAAGTCACATATGGGGGGTTTTCAAGACCGGGCATTTGATCTATGAGCTGTAAAAGTATAAAGTTGCGAAAGTCAAGAAAGTTTTCAAAACTGAATACTTAGCATCGTTATGACTTATGTTAGAAAGCAAAGCACGATGAATGTTGAATTCGGCCAACCGCTGCCCAAGGGTCTCGAGCATGCAGTGTCTGTTAGTATGCCAACATGGGACTCCGTAATCGCTTTTGAGGATGTGGCTGTATTTGGATTTCCTTTCCGAGATACCCGAATGATTATGCAGAAGACTGGCAACTGCCACTTTTTCGGTTAAGGTGATGACGATGATTTTCAAAGTTTACTTGCCCTCTTACAAGGAGATCACAACATTTCAGCAATATTTGTCGAGGCACCATCAAACCCTCTGCTACTCATGCCAGATCTAGCCGCGTTAAGGTAATTAGCTGATATTCATGGTTTGTTCCTTGTTATTGACGAAACCATCGGAGGCCTCAACATTGAAATTTTTGAAATTGCGGATATGGTATGCACGTCTCTTACGAAGATATTCAGCGGTGCTAGCAACGTAATAGGGGGGGGGGGGGGGGGGGGGATTTGTTGTTGTAAATCCCAAGTCCCGCCTCTATTCTTGTGCCCAAAAAGGTTTTGGAGCAAATGATTTTAAAGACCTCTTTTGGTGTGAAGATGCCATTGTGCTAGAACTGAATTCGAGAAACGTCAGGGCCAGGACAAAGAAAGCATACGATAATACACAACAAATACTTGAATATTTTCTTAAAGAAAAAGGCAAAGCCCTAAAAAAAGTTTACTATCCATCAGTGAGCTCAAAACGGACTAAGGAAAAGTATGATGCCGTCCGGAACATCGAGGGTGAATATGGATGTCTCTTGTCACTAACTTTCTTTAGTGATGAGGATGCAAGAGAATACTACGATGCTTTAGATGTGTTTAAGGGTCCATCTCTTGGTACGCATTTTACTTTGGCGATCCCGTTTTTGCTCATAGCACATTATCACGAACTAGAAAAGGTGGCCATGTTTGGCGTGGAGCAAAATCTCATCAGGATCAGCGTTGGGCTGGAAAACATCGAATATCTAACCCATGCATTTTCGAAAGCAATTAGAGCTGTCAAACGACTTCACCAGACTGTTTTTGCCTGAAACAGAGTACCTCGCTAAGACTCTTTGGTTTGTTGGGTGGTTTTGGCTGTAATATATGATGGAGACGCTCAAAAATCAGACTGCTATTGTTAACGTGAGGAGTTCAGGCCAGGTGTTTGGAGAATTCTCGAAAGAAACGAAGCTGCTAGCGAGGTAGAGCTGTCACCATAGAATCGAGCAAGATGTAGTACATATCCAAATGCTACCCAGATAAATTGAACCTGACTCCTTTTTGTGTGAGAAAATTCAATTCTCCATATGAGGGACATGTGGGCTTGATTTCGAAAGAGATTTTAGAGAAGTTGGGAAATCTCTCTTATTATGCGAACATTTTCATATGTGGACCACCTGGGAGCATTAGTGCCATGTGTGGGGACTAAGAGTCGTTTATACTTCAAGAAAGACTTGGAGGCCCTTCAAAGAAATTGGGTACAAAGCTACTCAAATAATTAGGTTTAAGGTCAAAAAAAATGAGATTTGAGATACTAATACCATCTAATCAGTGTAAAATTGATAATTCAATGTTTGGATGAAGTCGAGAGTGCTTCTCACTTGTCAGCTCAAGACCTAGCTTCGACAAGTAGAGGCTCGACACTTTTACGATTAGGCAAATTGTCTGATTGTATCTGATGATAATCCTAAACAGAGTGCCACTACAAAATGCTTCAATTCAGCTACGATGCAAATTTCAATATGCTTCTTGTACAGCATTGGGTTCCGAAAGTGTAGAACATCTAATTCAAAAAGCACACAGCTCGCTGTTAACCTGCCATGCCAGTTATTTCCCAAAATTTTATGCTTCCCCGAAGGTTTCAATAAAGCACGATAGGCTCTGATAGGTATGGCGGCCTAAAACCTTAAAGCTTTTCTTCAAGAAAGAAACTACTTATAAGCTACTTAGTTTTCCCCGAAACTCGTCAATCGAAGTGTAGCCCTTTTTGTTCATGATATCCTCTAGCTCATGTAGCAAACGTTCAAACACGGATACACCTTCTTCGTACAGTTCAGTACCGACCTGTAACATAGTTGCTCCACACAACAAATGCTCAAAAGCGTCTTGCCCTGTTCTTATCCCACCTGTTCCTATTATTTTTATACTAGAATTCAAGCGGGTGTAAAATCCACGCACATTGGCTAGCGCTGTCGGCTTAACGTATTCGCCACCAATTCCACCAAATCCGTTCTTGGGCTTAATTACTACACTCTCCGTTTCGAGATCGACATAGAGGCCATTACCGACACTGTTAATGCAGTTAACGTATGCCAGGGGGAACTTGTTTAAGATGCTGGCAGCGGTATCGAAGTGAGCAAAATCGAAATAGGGAGGTAATTTGACTCCTAACGGCTTTTTGAAGAAACTGAAAACTTTACTTAGTAGTTCTTCAGTTACCTCAAAATCGTAGGCAAGTTGTGGTTTACCTGGTACATTAGGACACGAGAGATTTAATTCGGTTACGCCGTCAAATGCACTGTCTTGAATTGCTCTCAAGAGCTTTAGATTCTCATCAATACTCATACCAGCAACGGAAAAAAAAGGAGTATTAGCAGCTGGGTGCTTGTCTTGATAGTCAAGAACATAGTCAAGATAATACTTGAAGCCCCTGTTTGGTAACCCCATCGAATTGATACTTCCTAGAGGAGTTGAATAGTAACGCGGCTCTGGATTACCTTCTCTTTCGACTTCGGTAGAACTCTTTGTGATGAAAGCACCAGCTTTGGAGTTGCTCAGTTCTTCCAGTTCATCGATGGTCAAGCAATGAACACCAGAGGCGTTCATAAATGGATTTTCATACTGCCTACCTAGGAACTCAGTTCTCAAAGATGCAGACATTCAAGATTTATCTGTGGTTTCTTTTCAGATTTGAATAAAGTGAACGTAATTCACATATCTCTTACAAACACTGCGCATAGCCAAAGTTTTCTTCAAACAGATGTATGACTTTTATACATTCGCTTTTCAGCCTGACGAATTTTTCAAGAATCGTATGATAAAAGAACAGTTTCATGATCGTCAAACTTGATCGCCAGATTTTATAACATCGTTTTACTTTTAGACTGTTCACGGTAAACACCGGAATCATCAAATGGTAACTCGCTAGTTGAATTAGAGTGACTACTTCTTCGAAAGCCCAAACACAACCAACTCACTTTAAACTTTCCTTGCATTCAGATTCTTGAAATTTAAACTGTACCGCTCATAATGAAGCACATTTCTATCTCGCAAGTCACACGCAATGACCTTACCGGGAGTAATAACCATTGCAAACTTCATATGACATGGCAGGTTTCTGAAACTGAACTAAAAAAAAGCCCAGGCTTTTTCAAAGTGAAGACGGTAATTTTAACGTTTCTATATATTCAAGCGCAGCAGCTACACACTCTAAAATATGAATATAATCCTGCAAGACCAGAACGCTGACCCATGGGGTCCCAGCCAAAGAAACAATGGTTGATGTCAAGCTTGGATTATGAAAATTTTCCAACAAGATCAGAGGTTTCTGTGAGCTGCACTATAAACAATTCTTCTTTCTATGTGATAGTCAACTGTGAACTGGCTGGCAAAAAAAAGGACGAAATGGGAATTGATCCCATTAGAGGAGCGCTTCTGCAGGGCATTTTCGGTGCAAATCAAACCCCAACAGAATGATTGACATATTTTTGGACTGGTTTGTAATCATCATTGACCCGCGAGCATAGGTTTTGAGGGTGCCTCTCGACGCTAGAAAATGCGCCTCTTGTGAAAGATCCCTAAGAAATTGTGCGTAAGAGTTTTGATAAAACGAGTTAGCAGTTCATCCGATTTCAAAATAGCAGATTGATCGAGCGCCGGGCTTGACTTTATTTTCTAGTATTATAGGTCAATGCTTACATTTCTCACAGGGGTCCGTTAATAAACGAACGGACTTGATATCACGGAATATCTTGAAAATATGAAATTTATTAATTGATCATCAAATTAAATGAAAAATGACACTTCACAAATTTGCTCTCTTCCTTAAATTTTAACTAAGCTGGCCTTTGGCGAGTCTGTGGTATTTCGTCGCCGATTTCTTAATATACAGATTTCCCGGGATGGTGGATCCTGCATGATGCAGTCTGAACCGTCTTCAAACTCCGGATCTCGAAAGAAAAAATCCAAAAAAAGAAACGTTGCGAGCACACAGGGCGGAATGTATGTCTTCTAAAGAGTAGGCTTCACTTGATGTAGTGACGAAACTGCAATTTAAAAATTAACAAGAGCAATATATTTTGGTCGTCTGAATACATTTGAGTAAGGTCTATGTTAACCGCTGCTCGCTGCCGCTTTTGTAAAAGAAACTTTTTGAGGGTTTAACTTTAGGCTACTAAAAACAGCAAGCTCGCTTTTCCGTGGGGTACTCTCCGGCTGTAGAGTCCTAGGAGGGTATGCGAAAGGCGTAGAGTCGAATGTACAAGACGAAATGATATTTAATTTACGCCTGATATTCCCATCGGCCGAATTGAAGTCATTTCTACTGTGAGGCCAATCTGACCGTAAGTGATCTGAACTTTCAGGAGTTTTCTTCCTCGTTAAACATCGGTGTCGTTGAAGTTCTTCCATTCCCCATAAGTTGATTTCTTCAGAGCCTTCAACAAGATCAAGTATTCGGACGCATAGGATACTTGGCAACTATCTTTTGCCTGTCAAATGTGCCCAGGAGGCACTAGTTAGCAAATGATTGCCTTGTAATCGTTTTTCCAGTATGCGTTAGAGAAATGGTGTATATTAGAACTATGATACTAGTCATCTCATTCTTTCGTCCAATTAACTGTTCACAGAGAATTTACCACAGCAGTAGCCGCTTTCACCTTATACCGTCATGTCCTTTGAACTCAACATTTTGACAGTCTTTAAGGCATATCCTTTATTATGTAGCATATACTACACCGAATGATAGGAAAAACAAGCATTTAACTTTGGATATGGCATCATTATGAGCTCTTCATGCTATGTTGTTGTTACACATTGCCAGATGTTGAAGTATTCAATTATATCCTCGATGAACGTTTCTGTGCATACAGCTTAATTTTGCCGGTATGTATCATTAGAAATGATGACTTCAGCACCGGAACTCCAGAGCAAATTAACCAAACGTAGCAATTCTCTGGGTGAGTAAGTAACTACCAGTAGTATGGACTTAGACTAGCGCTAGGGCAATTATCGTCGTATATAACGATATTGTATTTCATTTAAGATTTCACGCTCCAAAGTGCTTTAAGGCTGTAGCGTAGGACGATGTAATTCTTGCTGGCACGTCTTAAGGAAGGAATGTTAGCGAAACCAGATACCATATCATTGCATCGAGACATTTTAATCTTGACAATGATTTGGCTACAGATAGGAAGAATGACTTTGTTGATGAAAGGATAATACTATGACCAGTCGAAATTCTCTAACCATCGTCGGTTCGCGCAAGCGGCAGATCTCTACCCTTGCTGCTCATATGGTAAGCGTTGCGAATAGAAAGTTCGATCGCATAAGGTGCTGTCGCTCGGAGCGAACAACCCTTCATTGATATTAATCAAGTGGACTAGAGGTTGCAAAAGGCCCAACTACGACAAATATTCTTAACTGCGAGCCGAATATTCTGCGATTGAAAACAACACTCCGAGAGATTTCCCCGCCTCAGTTTTACTCACCGTTTGTTGAAAACCAGGTATGCATCCCATAAGATGAGCAAAGACGACAGCTTGAAGTTTAATTTGGTCAACTGCTATAATAGGACGCGATCATTGCTAGTCGAAGATTCCTTGCAAATGATCCAACATGCTAGCTATTCGTGAGCAAGAGAGTGCTCCTGTCAAACTCGAGAACATAAACCTAGGATAAGAGCTAGAGCAAAGCTTATATAAACCGCAAGCTAATGGCGCGAGAGTAGCAATTTCGGCTAAAGTAAGTATGCAAGGGCTCACAAGTTTTACAGGCGCCGAAATCTACATCTGTTATCAAGAATCCCAACACTATTGATACCAATTGGACATTAAGAGGACACTTCCGAAAAGTTTGTCGCATCGCGAACCGCACTCAAATGGATTTGCTGATTTTTATCTATTTCAATTCTGCCTGCTTGCTATTTGGATGCTTCGCATATCCAAAAATAGTTTAAATCAGCAAGTGCCGCATTTGTGCTATGCCGGTAACAGAGCTGCAAAATGATTTTTAAGTGTGTTTGGCGCTTCATTCCAAATGAGGGCAAGAAACAACTACGCTGCGATGTGCAAGTTTTCAGGAGATTGCCTGGAATACCAGAGACTCTCCGAGCCGTTGGCTGCTTACCAGACCGTTCTTGGCGCTGAGCTAGATAACGTTTGTAGCCGTTGGAAAGGGAAGGCATATGCAATGCATGCAACTCATCTGGATTACTGCGAGAAACCAGCGCGTAAAACCCTTTCGGAATTTACTTGTTCTCTTATCTGCACCTAAAAGGAACCACATGATTAGAAAAGGTGCATCCGGAGTTAGATTTTTTTCCCGGGTTGAAGTTCGACTTCAATCTCCGTGAGAAGAAAAAAGTATTGCATACGCGCCATGTGTAAAGGTATTGCAGCTTGCGTACTCCGAGCGTAATATAATCATGCGATTTCAAAGCACGAAAAGCGTCTGGATGATCCTGAAATGGCCTTTTCAAAGAGCAGAGAGAACGAACCGTAGACACTAAAACAAGCGTAGGAAATACGCAGCGTTTTGATTGCGACGTTGGCTTAAAACGTAGCTACTGTATTGCATAAAAACCGCAGAAAATCTAATGCGCCCGGTCAGCGAACGCATGGATTTAATTAAGAAGTAGGTCATCAATTGCCTAACCGAGAACCTTTTGTTTTTGTGACGCTTAGCATGGAGGCAAAGTGCCTAAAGCGCCAAAAGGTATGGACAAAAGATCCTGCATTTTAGTACTTTTGTTGCGGATGAATCTAGCCGCTTTTTCAGCGTAACAAGGCAGCGAATCCATTAAGTGATCTTTGGTTTCTACTAGCTGGCTCTTAACACAACACTCACAACGACAGTTTTGCTTGCTAACCCATTGCGGACAATAAAAAGTAGCTATAAGTTAGTATAGTTCATGGGACTACAAAAGTTACTGAACTAAGATAAGCAAAGTTTCAATGGTCCTAGGCTTTCATTGACGTGCTAATCGATGGTACAAAATTTGTTTACTAGCGCCGCGTTGAGAGATCTGGTGGATTTCTCTGACGCGCAAGGTTGAGTCTAAGGCTTCAAAATTTTTACGACAGAAAGTCACGTATAAGGTCGTTTGAGCGTTGACGTTATTAGCCTGCTCTATAATGTATGAAATTTTTTGACCGTAGGAAAGGCAGACTTTCCAAATGCAGCAAAGCACAGGACGCACTCCTCCTACCATTTAACGCAAAGTGCTTCTCATTTCTTCCTACCGGGAAACTTTATGACTACTAATTTGTTGGTAGCTAGATCCACCGTTCAACCGCCCAGGTTTATGTTATAAATAAGTCTAGGACCTGCCCACTACGATGACTGTAAAAGGCGATTTTGGTTTTTACGAGTATTCAGCGTAAAGAATTAAGCTACTATGAGGCATTGCGTTAGCATGACATCCAGACTCGTGTTTTTCTACTTAGTCGTTTCGGTGTTTTGCAGTCGCATTTATGCCGCAAACACTTGCTTAGAAAGTATATTAGATTCAAATGGTATTGGTATGGAAGATGGGACTGTACCTCTCAAGAAACGTGATGATAAGGGATGTGTCGTCACCACAATAGGTTCGATTATGGCCACTGGCGTCAGATTTGCTGGTATCAACTCAACCGTCTACACTTCATGGACTGGTTCTTTTACTAATACTTTCTCCACCGATATCACAACTTTCACCGGATCCGATGGTATTCCAACCACCGAAACTGTCTACTACGCGGAAAGCCCAGTTGTGGGCGTGAACTCCACTACCACTATGGGATGGACTGGAATGTTCACTAGCACCTACTCCACTGAGTTGACTACGTTCACCGGATCTGACGGTATTCCAACCACCGAAACCGTCTACTACGTGGAAACCTCAGTTGTGGGCGTGAACTCCACTACAACTACGGGATGGACTGGAATGTTCACTAGCACCTACTCCACTGATATCACCACTTTCACCGGATCTGATGGTATTCCAACCACCGAGACTGTCTACTATGTGGAGACTACAGGCATGGGCGTGAACTCTACAAGAATCCCTGGACGCACTGCATCTTTCATAAGTACCCTCTCAACTGACATAACCACATTCACTGGATCGGATAGTATTCCAACTACCGAGACTATTTCCTATGCCGAAACCCCAGTTGTGAGCGTGCACTCCACCGTCTACACTCCATGGACTGGTGCTTCGACCTCGACTTTCTCGGCTGATGTCGCTACCTTAACTGGATCTGACGGAATCCCAACCACCGAGACCGTTTACTATGTTGAGACCCCAACTGGTGCTTCGACTGTGTATACCAGATGGACCGGCTTGGCCACATCAACATACTCAACTGAACTGTCGACAATTACAGGAACTGACGGCATGCCAACTACACAAACAGTTTATTATGTTGAGACTCCGATGTCAGGACTTTACTCAAATAGCACTACAAAGAGCGCCAAGCCTGGAAGCTCAATACCCGCTAGCTCTGAAGGGAATGCTGCTGTGACTTCCAGCGCTGCCGCTTCATCACTTTCTTCCGGCGACCCTGGCACTCTTTCGACTGTTAAAACATCTCCGTGGTCCAGCACCACTCCTTCAGGATCTGCCAAGTCACAATCTTCTGCGGAGAAACCAGCTACGCCCTTTTCGATGTCTACTATTTCTTCCGAACCTGTGCCTACTGTGACGGGCCAAACAAGCTCTAACTCTTTTACTGAAGATGTAACTGAGACAGAAATAGTGACGAGTGCTGCTCCTCTTGTCCCAACGCGCTCTAACAGCATGAACGTATTATCCGGAACCTCAAACTCCAACACAGCTACCAATAGTGAATCTGCTGCTATTTCGGAATCGAAGGTTGGAAATACAGCTACTATTTTAGGTGGGTCTAATATCGACTCAGCAGGCACACCAGTTGGCTCTCCAGTTGGCACACCGGCAGGCTCTCCAGTTGGCTCTCCAGTTGGCACACCAGTTGGCACACCAGCAGGCTCTCCAACGCCCGACAGTCCAACCGCCGTACCAAACTCAAACAATGGTTACGACGGCAATTGTAGCCCAGGTGAACCTTCCACCACCGCAAATCCTGCCATTAACCAAGGTTCTCCACATAACAGTGATGAAAATCCATCAAGCTCTAGCGAGCAAAGTATCAATAGTTTTGCTTCGATAACAGCAGGATTTGGTCTTCAATCACAACCTGGCGACCAAACCACCACGGTTTCTCCCTCAACTTCTCCAACACAAATTTCCGGCTCTTTTTCGGCTTCATCCTCGAGTGCTACTTTCTCAGTTTCAACGTATGAAGGTGCTGCTCAGAAGCTTGGACTTGGGTTTCTACTTGCACTGCCCTTGGCGTTAATCTAGGCAGCAGCTGCGCGACACTACTCGCAAACCAAGGTTCATATAAAGCTTCGAATATAATCTGCTGATATCGTCAGTCAAACGATCTACAACCAAAGCAGCTAGTCTGTATTCTTAAAAATTGTGTCCTTATTAAATATCATTACTTTTCTCAAGCTACCCTAAGGAATCTGGAACACAAGGTCCTTTCGGAAGCAAGAAGCTTGCGCTTCTTATTACATCGGGCTTTTTCGGAGGAATATTACTAAGTCGTAAAGCTGAAAGATTGGCTGTGAAAGACTCAGTTGGCTTAAGAGCATTTTCTCCTTACATCTGAAACTAAGCCAAAGTAAGAAAACCACACTATCTGACTGCTCTACAAGGTAAACGGTGTGCACATTAGAACCAAAGGTTACTTCATACATGCTCATGATATCCTCACCCGTGTGGGAAAATATTTGGGACAGTTTGAACATATGGGACGAGACCCCTCCTTTCTAGGAGCTAAAGAGAATAGTTTCTAATGGCCAATGGTATAGTAAGTTCTGGATCGATCGCTTGTCGCAAGCAGCATCAAAAACACAGAAACACTTAGCATTAAGAATCTATGCTTGAGATGTGAAGGTTCAATTGCTCTCAATTGAAATCATGTTGAATTAGGGAGCTCCGTCAAAGAAGTGATCAAAAAATGTTAAGAACTACCCATCTTGGTCGTGTGTAATTCGCAATCGGAAACTTTGGCGACGATAAACTCCTTGATAGGTACTGACGGTGAAAGAAAATGTCCTGCTTGCATTATGCGGCGCTCACTCTTACCTTTCGAAAAAAACGCTTAGGTTGCAGAACAGCTTACATACAGCTTGGAGCCGTCTTGGCAAAAATCCTAATAATGGACAAAACTCAGTGCATCTCTGCGGAACTAGATGTCCTGTTTTGTACCTCTAATTTGGTTGGCTTGATGCCGAACATGGGAAATCAATGAGGTAGAATATAGCGCTTTGGGAAAACCTGAGAATTTGGAACGCGTTTTATCCACAACTCGCCGCACTTTTTCCACACTCAAGATACTTGAATGGTTTGTATAGAGATCGGAATCTACGGAGATTAGAACTCGGAAATATACTAACACACTTTTCTCAGCAGTATTATTATTCCAAGCTCCGACCGAACTGGGGCAAGCGCCACTTTAAAATATGCTGTGTTTGTATCATCTAAGTTTCCAGCGACGAATTTCCATTTACTACTTGTTGCCAGTCCTCGTTCGCCCTTTCTTCGTATATTCTTATAGCATGGTCAAGCATGCGCTGATATTCACTTAAAGGTACCTTATTTTCCTTTGCATCGTTTGCGCTTTTGAATGCCAAGAAAGGCACTAGGCAACAGCTCCTAAAGTAGGAATAGCACGACTCACCATCGTAAAAGAAATAAGGTGAAACCAATGAGCTGCTGCGATGCATAGATAAGTTCATTCGAGCAGCAATAACATCCCACTCTCTCATGTCAATTCCTGGTTTCAAGTCCGCTATAAATTTCACAAGCGCCAGTCTGTTCGCTGCGGTCTTCGGCCGGTCGAGCGCGGCATAATATGTCATCGTACATGTAATGAAGGTAGCAACTGATCCACCGAAGACAACAAATACTGAAATAACAAGTTTGGCTCCCTCATTAGCTTGCAATCCCATATAAAACAAAAGGAACAAAGTACCAACTCCGAGCTAAGCAACAGAAGGACAGCCCTGTGCCGAATTATTTCATATTGAAACTTGTTAGGGAAAATATCGCGGGGGAGCCTCAAGTGTTGATCACTTGCATGTGATGCACCGATCAAATGCTCCTCTATTTCTTTTAGCTCCATTTTTTTGTGTGGTCTTGCTCTTATAACATTGGGAGTAGATATTTTTATGCAGTTTGCAGTGCCTTTCTTAAAGGTCCGAAAATAGCTAACTGGAAGATTTCGAAGAAAATTTCGACGCAGTTGATGGATGACAACGATAAGCTTGGAATTGGAAACAGAGCTCATATGACCCTATTGATTTGTCATGGCAAATGAATATTTATTTGATTGCCGGAACGCTGGCACGGATAGGTGAAACCGTTATATTTGGCTTTTCAACAGGCCAGGTCTTTACAAAGCTACGAATTGAGTTTCCGGACATTCACGAAGACTAAATCTTTCTCGCGTGTCTAAATCAGACTATCGACACAGCCGACTGATCACAAGGTCGGTCAATTAAAATGCTCGATTCTGGTGCGGCGCCCAGAGCGGGTAGCTTGATGTTGTTGAATTTCTAGACCATTATGCCGTGCACTCTGTGGAATTCCCAGTAAGGTCTTGTCTCATCAAGTGGGCTCATTTGTTCAATGACAATCACGGTAGCGGATCGGAGCATGCCTGTCAGTTTGCAAGCACACCAAGATGACCTTCGAAGATATATTTTCACACGTTAAAAAATGTCAAATCAACAACCCTGCTGTAAAATCTGCCGCTTAGTATGCGCTCATAGCCGAAATGGAGACCAGGCGAACTCGGAGTTTTGCGGTACTTGCTGGCCAAGTCTGACTAGAGGTCTAGAAATTTTCAAGCAGATCTAGCTTTTTCTTTAGGGCCCGTGTTCTCTGAATATTTGTGTGCCCTAAATAGTATAGGTTCATAAAAAAGAACTGAATCAACCGAAAACGGCGATGTCTATTGCAATTTCTTCGTGCTGAATATCTGTCAGTTTTCGAAACAGCTTCGCTTTGTTACAATGCGAAGGAAAGCCCAGATTGTCACTTTTTCCACAACATGTAACCAAATCAAGCAAGCCATAGGAGGATCAGCACAGCACTTAAGATATGCGAACTTTTCATTCAATACTCAAAACACAGTGGAGGTTGTCAAGTAAACAGTACTGATCTGTTAAGGGTCTGGAGCCGAAGCTCAGCTTGCGAAGTTGTTTTGTAAGCAATTGGGGCATGGATTTCTGGGCACAGCTGACACTTCAAATCAGCGAGTGTCGACGGTTGGTTGATGAATTATTAGCTTGGGAGTGAATTGAAATATTTATGCCGTCTGCTATGGCTTGGCGCCTGATAGAAGCCGAGAGCACACACTTTGTATACAATAGCCACAATGGATCAGACACCAATTTTTTGAAAGAACACACAAGACGATATCTTCCGAACTTACCAACTGTAAAAACCTGTCTGCATAGGAGGCGATTTCAAACTAACGTGTACCATAAAAGCTGCAGTATAAAACTGGATATTCATTTCAGACACTACCCAAATAGTCTTCTTCTGCTCATCGATGTATCCCTCCGTTGATTATCGCGAAAGCCTGTTAATCCTGACCAATTCACAAATATATCGCCCTCTCAGCTCTCACTTCTACCTCCCGTCTTAATTCTCCGGATATGCCGCTTTCTGCAGCCAAGTTTTTCTCGAGCATGTTAGGCAACCAAAAAAACCTATTCCTCAGATAAGATAGTATAAGCGTAAAAAAAATCTGCCAAACTCTTAAGACCATAAGCTGCATGGTGACCTAACTAATGCTAAGAACGGGATTGGGTAGCTCACAGGAAAACATTGAAAGGCCCGTCATAAATATGCGTGGAAAAGGTTTTTTGTCGGGCTCTCGAGGCAATTTAGACACAAACAGCGGCATCGTGGTTACTACTTGCCAATGTTGCAATTTGTTGACAGTTGAGCGTGATTCAATGCACGGTTTACCACAACAATACATGGAAATTTGCCACGGTCAATAGAACAGCCGAATTTTCCGCTTGTCACCGGTGTCGAAGACGATGTTCCTATATAAAGGCACGATTTGAGTTTAAGGTGGGGAAGTCTGGGACAAAATCCTGACGCCGAAAAAGCAGTTGCCTACAAGCTCAATTCCACATAGACCATGTCGCAATTACCTGCCTTGAAAGCACTCGATGTTCAATTCATGCCTCTCGCCGTCAACGATCCATTTTGGACTGGATCTTTCGAGACGTGCTACAGCAAGTACGGAAAGGGTCTAGCCTGCTATGACGATTTTTCCTATGCATCTTGGGTTTTGACATACTACCCTGATCAGTTGAACGACTTGGTAGACTGCCTCCAGGGATTTGCTTCAGTAGCTGGTTTCCCAACTACGATAGTTACCGAAACCGCAGAGTCGGGCGTTCCTTTTAATGATGCAGTGATGGCCGTCTGGGAAGCTGATGAAAGTATCTATTCTTATTGCAATCCCTCACCCTATCAGGGACAGGCACAGGCTCCGCTAACGTGTCTTTTACAGGATGAGTGCGGACCCAACGCTGCAAATGACGGGTCGGGCTCTGCCCCAGCTTCAGCTTCTGCCCCTGCTCCAGCCCAATCTTCAGGCTCTGCTCCAGTCCAATCTTCATGCTCTGTCCCAGCCCCATCATCTGGTTCTGGCTCTGCTGCAGCCCAATCTTCTGGTTCAGCCTCTGTCTTAGTCCAAGCGTCAGCGTCAGTGTCAGGCTCTGCCCCAGCTCAAGCTCCCAGCTCCGGCTCCGGATCTGCCCCAGCCCTAGCCTCAGCTTCTGCTGGCTCTGGCTCTACACCAGCTTCAGCCTCCGGCTCCGGCTCCAGCTCTGGCTCTGCCCCAGCGTTAGGTCCAGCCCCAGCTTCTATCTCTGCCCCAGCTTCAGTCGTGGCCCCCTTCTATTCAATGGTTCGCTCCAACAACAGCGTAACTAGCTCCACCGACTCCCAATTGTCGACAACTGTTGTTACCGTTACGTCCTGCTCCGACAACAAATGTTCCGAATCGGCGGTCACCACTGGCCTCACAACTGTTTATCAAGACCACACCACTTACACTACCTACTGTCCATTAGCCGGCGTCACCGCAAATACATCAAAATCAGGTAGCCCATCGACCGCAACTAAGCCTAACTTGTCAACCACTGTCGTGACTGTTACATCCTGCTCAAACAGGAAGTGTTCGGAAACCGAGTTAAGTACCGGTGTTACTACTGTCTACCAAGACCACACCACTTACACTACCTACTGCCCACTTAGCGTTGAAAGCTCAACTGCTGCTACTGCGTCAACACTTATGAACTCTACCTCTTCAACAGGAACTTACTCTACTTCTACCGAAGGTTCCAAGAGCTGGACTACGAGTGCTTATAATAGTGACCTTGGAAACTACAGTGGTAACGAAGGTATCAAGTTCAGTGCTTCCAAAGGCTCCCTCTTGGCCGCTGCTGCTTTGCTTATGTTATAGAATGGGTAGCTCTTATTTGATATTAGCACATCCTTGATGTATATTGTGTATTTATAACTTTGCTCAAGCGTAATGAATGGTGTCCATCGGGAAGTGACTCAAGCTCTTGATATCAGGGAGTGTCAATGGTCACGAACGCGACACTTTCAGATAAGTTCATTGAGGCATATCTGCATCAGCAATTGTTAACTTGCTAAACTGGTCATTTGAGTCGTTCATGGTGTATTCAATTTCTATAGGGACAGAGGGCTCTACTTATCTCTCAATGCGATCATTCCAGCTCTGAAGATTAGTTCTCTGCATAGAGAATGAATATTGGTATTTGTACAGCTATCCGGATGGTAGGTTTGATGTGTCAGCCTCTACCCGGGGACGTAATGATACTGAAATAGTTTGAATTTAGGCACCAATCAATATTAACATCTAGACGCCAGCGTTCTTATTCAATATGTATCTTTGTCACTTCGTACCATTATGACATAGTTCTTGGTTCCCATTACTCCTGTCCTGATCTACTTTTCTGCAACTGAGACTATCTAGCAATAGTAAAGGGATCCTGACATTAATAACAGGCAAGCCCCAAGTATGTCTGTTGGGAAAACTACTACACTTGACTCAAATCGACACCGACTATTCGTAGCAAATTTGAGCATAGACGACGATCTAATTGGAATTAGAGCGCTCCTGTTTATTGTCATGCTTCTTCCTGTCATTGACAACAGTTATTTCTTTAATATATCGAGATTCTTGCACTTCCAGATACTCGCACACGTCAGCGGTAAACGGCAGCATTCCCAGTTTCTGTAGCTCCTCATTAGAGAAACAATTGAAAAAGTCTAAAGGATCATTTTGACACATTTTTTCATGACGAACAGGAAACGCATACGTCAGCCCAAAATACAGTACGCCTGTCACGAGCGGAATAAAACATATGTAGCCGTAGTAATAGTTCATCATCGCCGATTGGTTTAAGATCAGGTTCAGATTGGTAAACTAGGCCAGGTATTACTAAAGCTGCCCCAATTAGGAGGCATGACATAGACTTCCAATCAAATCCAGTAGAATACCAATAAGCGCCCTTTCTGGATAGAGTGAATAAGTCTAGCAAGGTGATGTTGGGTTTGCGAATCCAGTAAAATTCGATAATGTTTAGAGTCATGATAGGTATCACGAAAGACCAAAGGAGCTCATCGCATTCAGAAAAGAGGAAGGTGTGTTAAAAAAGGTCCAAGGCTGAACAACCCAAGATATCAATTGGGCAAAGAGGGTACCACGAGTTACATCAATATAACGGGGAAATATCCCTGCAAGGTCCATTCCACATGCATAGCCATTATGCGTCAAGTTCAAGAAAACTTGAGAACCCGTAAAGTTAATACCGATAAAAAAGCCGCGGCGGGTGCTTTCGACGAGTAGTCGTTACTCAGCCATTCTTCCACAATTTAATTGGGTGTCCAGTACACAGAGCCATATAACCATTTACAGGCTGAAGTGCACACCATGCCCGCTAGAGACACAAAGGTTCCGGGCACAACAATACCGATGCAAAGGCCCAAATAACAGGATAAAGTTTTCGAACTGAAACGAGAATAATCGGACTGGTTGGCAACTGCTGGCGATATACCGCTGTACCAACTCGTCATAGAGTATAGTCACATCCAGGATTGCTGAGTCAAAGAAAGCACCACATCCTTGTAGTACAATGGGCCGGGGCCGCCGTTTCTTTGGACGAGATATGCCAGCATTCCGATGATTGAGAACAGCGCCATGAAGCACGTCACAATGGATGGAATAATGATACGACCTGGCCTCACGAATGCAAAGGGCATCTGAATCAATTGGAAACAAAGGAAACCGATGATATTTTTTCTCGCCATGGGCACTGAATTTGGGAAGGTGTCCTTCATGTGCAGGTTTTTTTGAGAGAACGAATCGAGTACCATGTTGATACAAAGATCGTCAAGCCATGCTTGGTAGCCGTAGAACACCACCGATATACTAACACGGATTATGATACCCACTTAAGAGCCGTAGATTCCAAAAATCATTATTTGACTGAGCGTATACCGATGTGATATTTAACACCGGGGTTGGACTTCAAAGTGGTGAAGACCGCTATGAGCACATTTGCTATCACCAACGAACCGATGGATTGCTGAATGATCAAATCTAGCGCCAGCAATGCAGAGCCGGTGGAAAAAGTCTCCACAGCGAAGTTAGGAAGACCCCGGTATGCGAAAAACGAACAAACCCCCCACGTCTGTTCCCTCACTAAAATAGCTCAAGATCAGTATTACGCAGGGTAGATAAAGGTTTGTCTTCGTGAGGAATCTCCAGGGCTCTCATGAACTTTTGCCAAGCATTCTGTGGCAGCTTCTCTTTTTCCATTTCTTGGTTTTCCCGTACAATTTCCATGTCAGTGTTTCTCAAAACGGACGTGACAGGTACAATATTCCCATTGGGAAAACTGTGCTGATGGTTACTCATAGCGATGAATGCCAAGGAAAATTTCAAGAGATGTCTTCGTGGATGGCGGATTGTTACAGTTCTTTGGCCTTAAGCAACTATAGCTGGGTCGCGGAGTTTTGCAACTGTAGCCAAGTTCAATGTGATAAACCACACAGCATCTAACCGCTTAAATCATTGCATAAAGTTTTTCCCTTTCTCTCTTTCTTTCTTTCTTACTCGCTGTGCACTGCCGGAATCGACACTATTTTCCCGGGGTCCTTATCGACCCCAAGAAAATTGAATTCTTCAATTAAGGAAGTTTAATCACTTTCCTATTAATCGGACTTTCTGCACCAGCTAATCAAGAACAAAATGTCAAAACTAGAAAGTTAAAATTTAGACTACAATTTTACGCTATGGACGAAATTAAACTATAATGTTTACCTATTAGCCAACAATGTAACGATATTGCTCAAAATAAACTAAATTATCTGAATTTTAGCTATTTGTTAAGCTACAGCGCTACCTACAGCGATCACTCTGCGCCTCCAACTCCTTTACTTCTCAAATCTTCTATTTCTTGACTCCGTTTCTAGTTCATAGTCAGGCTGATCCTCCGCGTGCAACGTTGTTAGATCGGAAGTGGTAAATTAGGAGAAGCTAGCTTCTTCATCTCCGATGATCTTTTTCTCCAGGCCGGATTTGCAAGTAATTTCAACCTTGAGCTGGACTTCGTACGTACGCTCCAGCAAAGTGAAAAGAAATGCCGCCTCCTCGATCGTCTCGCTAACGGTCGAAATCCCGTGGTTTTGCAGTATTATGGCCTTTTTGTCATGCAAACGTGTGGCCAATCGCTCTCGTACCTTGTCCTCAAGCACGAGCCCTCCAAAATTCGCATACACCGTGTGCATTTTGTAAAATGTGCTGGCGCCTTGGTTCAGCATTCTAACCTCACGACCAAATGCGGACCATGCTTTCCCATACACGCTGTGAGCGTGACAGGCATTATTTACGTCGGATCTGGCACAGTACAGGTATGAGTGGATTTTGAAGCCGGCTCAGTTGATAACCACTTGATTATCATCTGGTAGTATATTTCCATTGTCATCGACGTGCATATTATTGGACACTCGCATCCGCGAAAAGTCGCGTCCTAAGAGATTAATCCAAAACGTTTGTGGGCTAATTGGATCCCGCATGGATATGTGACCTGCAGAGCCCTTCTAGTAGCCTTTCCTACCGAATACACGGAAAGCACAAGCCATGTGCTCCAAAACGTGCTCTCTCTCTTCCGTCATACTATTGAACACCGGCCTCTTGTTTTTGTACTCCAGGGTTCCCATGAAAAGGTTTTACGTACCCTGAGAGCAGTGGAATCTGGTCCGCAACATGCATCGTGGACGTGGAAGTAAGTGTTGGCATGTTCGGTCTGCTCCTCGTTCTGTCTAACACAGGGCCAGATTCAACAAAAAGACTAGCCGGAGCCTTTTCGAGTTTACATAGTTCCCTTCTATACTGCCAAGCACTGATTGAAGTAGGCAATTAGTTTAGATGTTTAGCTTGTCGTAGCGGGTTGCACTCGCACATCTCGCCTCGCTCTCAATTTCCTACTTGGACATGCCGATCTTCAATAACTAGTTTAGAAAATGAGAGATAAGAATTCCGAATATGGAAAGATAAGAGCTCCTAATAGAGAAAGATATAAGTTTATGCGTTGCACGGAAACGTGACATGTAAAGTGCTTGGATTATTGATCTGATCTGTTCCCCTTCGTAAGTACGGTACTGTAACAACTGGCATAAGCACGTTGGTGATAGTAGGAAGATATTTGCGCATAGTTATATGTCGTTACCGTATGTCACGGGTATTGGTATTTTATAAACAATTTTGGTGTCAATGTGGATCGTTTCTTGGCGCTGTTTAACCAGCAATGTCCTTTATCATGCTAGCTTTGTCAATCATTACCGCGTAAAGCAGATACGGTAGGACTATTCTGAATTGTGTCAGAACGTTATGTATATGTCGAAGTTTTTATCACGTCATTATAGTATGAAGTGATAATAAACTGATTGTGAGAATCCTATATTGCATGAAATCCACTCGCAACGCGATGTAACGACAGTGAACCGGCTATATATTATCAGAGTAACCACAATTTATTTGTTTACATGATTTCATAAGACAGGCATGTCCCGCTCATCAAGAAAGGTATAAATACCGGTATTTTTTCAATGTATCGAGATTCGTCAGGATAACTGTGCTTTTGCTAGAAAGCGTCAATTGCCTAATGAAGAACTATGCCATAATAGTACAAAGTGACAGAGCAAGATATTCAATCCAGCATATCTACTCAAATAGTGACAAAGAATGCTGAGGTCTAGACATTGAAATTGATTGGGGTCTTTAGTTATACCGTTTTGGTATCATTGCGTCCGATAAAGGGAGGCTGAGACATTAACGATTGGTCTGGAGCACTTCTCGTCACCAGTGCCCCTCATGCAATGAATTATTTAAATCCCGGTGGTTTATTCTAAATTTTGAGATCCTAAAATGTCACATGTAGAAAGACAACGGAGAGATAAGTAAAATCCCAGATACTAGAGCGAATAAATGAGACACACCATGAACGACTTAAATAACCAGTTCGACAAGCTAATGTACTCCTGATTCAAATATGCATCACTAAGTATAAAAAAAAATTCGCTTTGATATGCGTGCTGAATCTGTTGAAACATTTGTGAAGATGCCGTTCTTCCTTGCGGCCTTCAAAAAGATTATTCATATAGCTGTTTGTATTCCAGGATAGATCTATTGGCCTGGCTGGTATCTGCTTTGATCGTAGAGAGTTCAAGACTGAGAGCGGTAACTTGGCGGTGTCAAGACTCTAAGATCCCATTATATAACACAGTAACTTCATGTTACTGTCACTTCTTGTTTCGTCATTGAAAATGTTGCGATCCGATGGTAGTCAATTGGTACGCGCGGGAAGCTGATGGGTAGAGGAACTACCATCACATGACTATTATGCTACAGTGCATATTTCTGCAAACTTCTACATATATACACATGCACCAATATGCGAGAATGTGTACAGTTTACAGAGAATTCACATGACAAAAAAAGAGTCTATCCTGACCTTGATTGAATAGCACTACTCCAATAGCAAGCCGAAATGCAGTTCCTGCTACTTTATTTCTACTTTCAGATATTTTCGATAATATGCTTTCAGCCATTTTAACACCATTTGGTTTTTTGAGATCTTTTAAGAAAAAAAGCAATTCTTTTGTATCAGAAAGAAAGGATAATTTTAGGTCCAAAAATAGCAGATCTCATCGAAGTTAGTTTGATTCAGTGACACCAACCTTAATATTGTTGTGGTCTATCCTTGTTAAAGATGTGTGAGGTGTTCCTTTGGGTAAGTGCTTCTAAGCATGGTAGCACGTGCCAGTTTACGACAGCTTCGGCGAACCGACATCGCTTAAGGATAGTGGTGATTAATCAAATTATGCTATGTATTAGTCCAAAAACATTCTTCTATACGTGCAAAGCATATAGGGAAGGGGATTTAAGCTCAGCCAAGATCAGCAAACATTTTTGAGTGAGATATATCTATCAACTACACGAGTGAATCCCATCCAGACTCCTACGGGATTTGGTAAAAAGTTGTTGCTTGAGCTGCCCATTTTGGCATTGCGCAAGGAAAGCCATGTCTCGTTCGTATTTGTTTCTTACAATACGCTTCTCAGAGACATGAGTCAAAGACTGCAGAAAGACGGACTGCATGTAGAATTTGTGCGCGACCTGCTGAGTGACGACCCCGTTGGAAGATAAGACCTTTGTGACGTGTAATTAGGAATATTCGACAATATGGGAAGATCAGATCCATCCCAATCGGGAAAAAACTAAGTACTCCCAGCCCTAATCGCTACCTCTTGCCTTACCCGCTACACCTAAAATTAAATTTTTTTCGTCGTATTTACCGCTAGGGCTTGAGGATTTAGACGTGAGAGAAAAGAATAAAAGGGCACGATCCAAGTTAGTTCTTTTCTAGATATTACCCTTGTAATTTTTTTTAAAAAGTTGTCGACGTACTTCAGTATGCAACCCTCCTACCTGATAGGATCCGGAAAGCAAAAGCACTACCAATAGCATTATTTGACGATTTTAGAATACTGTTTTTCGTTGTTGCATTATTGCCACTTCCACAAGTCCTCTTTTTTTTCCATTGTCCATTCACTAACACCTACAACAGTAGGATCATTTCTATAGTAATCGTCACTCTTTGACTCTTCAAAAGAGCCACTGAATCCAACTTGGTTGATGAGCCTATAACCTTTGTGCCCCAGAGTGAGACCAAAGATGTTTCCCTAGCTTGGTCCACAACCCTCAGCGGTTTGGCCATCTACCCACATTTTTGTTTTGCCTTTTGCTTTGCAGTTGTTTATCCCACTTTTGTGGGCATTTTACTGTTCTAAAAAGGCGCGATGATCTTGGCCCAATTCGTGCACTTCTTTGTGAAGGGACGTCCATATTGGGTGGGCGCAAACGGCAGTCTGACAAGTCTTTTTTGATTTTTTTCCTAGTTGGCTATTCAAAGGTTTGAGTAGTGGATTAGAATTTGAATAAGAAATGGTATTACCTGAAATGTATAAAATCTGTATATAACTTTGATTGCTATGCTCTCACCTTTGAGTGCTAATGTTACAAATGCTTGACAGTTTTCATATTTGAATCCATTGCTTAGCTGCTCGAATAACCCATCTTCTGGCTAACTAATAATCACCGATTTACATAAGCGTAGCCGCTACGCTCTCATTGCAAACTATTTATCATTTATCTACCGCATAGAATGTTTTTTGCTGGAGGGCGCGTTCAGCAAACGGTGAGGAAGTAAATTTCCGAGAGGAAGAAGGAAGGCTGTGGGGGAAACTAGGGGGGCTATGCTTCTTGAAGATGCTGGTCCACGAAATTCTAATCATGGTATGTCAGGGGCTCTCTGGCGGGAGGTAGATTGATGTGAGCTGCGTATCACGTGCCATTCACGAGACACCATGCCTAAATAGGGCGATTAACGTTGATAATGATCTAAGCAAGGTAGCCTTGTAGTTGCACATGGGAAATTACCTGAGCAAGCTGGGTAAAGCTAAGAAGTCGCTCTAAGCAGAGAAAAAAAAGCAGCGACACCTAACGGAAGAGCAAAAGACAAGAATCAGTGGTAAGATTAGTTTAATGAAAGTCTTGAACCGTATTAGGTTTCGTAATTGGAGAAGACATAGGTCAGGGTATTATCCATGTGCAAAGCACGTGAACTATAAGCAAACTAGAATAAAGCGTCGATATCGACCAGAAGCTCTCGGATACGCTGCGTAGTGGTGGTCCTCTCGCTAGTTAGACGTTTAAATTCTTTGAGTAATACTTACCAGATGCTCTCGACGGTTCAAAAGGAAGGGTGTTTCAACGGTTCAAAAACAGGGGGTTCAAAGGCTAGGAGCTCTACATTATCGGTATATAAGCGGGGTACCATGCAATAGAAAAGGTCCAAGCTCGAGATTAATTAATATCATGACATGGATTAAGATATCAGCCAAGTACTTCATTATCAACGGTTACCTAGTTCATGTTGAAGACAGCGGTAAGCGCCGAGCTGTGGTACCTGGACGCAACGTCGAAAGACTAAAAGCAGAGGAGCTAAAAGCCTTTAAGAAGCATGAATGCTCTTTGGTGAATGTGTCGGACTATCTCAGGAACGAGGAATGCGATCTGTTTCCCACCTCTTCGAAGAAGTTCTTCCAGGCCGTGGAGAAAGTAAAAAAGAAGTTTTTCCCTTTTTCCAATGGACACAAGCTGCTTCAACCGACAAGAGCACGAACCGCGGACAAGATACAAGCCCGGGAACTCGAGGTTGTGCAGCTGACATATGGCAAGAACAAAAAAAAATGTCTCTTTCTAAATGACACGCCGCTGGTGGTCACATCTGGTCCTGAAGATGAAGGGCGCGTTCTCAAAATACATCATCAGCGTGCGCGCTCCGTTCGGTACACACTACTGTGTCTACACGAGCTCGAGTTCACAGACCAAGATCGAGACCTCTTCCGAAACTATCTCGCAGACAAACCCCTGATCGATGAGGAATGTATAAAGCTGTTTCAACACATTTACCAATCAACCCGGAGCAGCATGCGTCTGCGTTCGATTGGACAGACCTTTGCAAGGTCATTTGGAAAGGACCCTCTTTTAAAACATCTGCAACTCCAGACCCTTCATAACTACGGCAAGAAAGCGAGTATGACCTACTACATCGTCCTTCACTTGAAAGAACTTTCTCTGTCTTCCTGGGACCTTGAAACCGAGGCCTGGTGTGCTCTTAATACTGAGAGTAGAGCTAAAAGACTATCGGAAATATTCTATAAAATGATTACTGAGCAGAGACCATTATTCCATCTTCTTGTCCGGCTAGTTGGGTTCAACTATGAAGGGGTTCAGCCTCAGATTGCCAGAGTTGAGGAAATCAGAAAGGGCCTGGACGCGTTCAAGCAGTTTGTGCAGTACGCAATACTGTATACTGACGGCGAAGAAAGGGAAACCGTGTTCACGGATGACAACGCGTCGGAGTGGTACTGGCTGAAGCACGTGTATCATGAGATCGTTGCAGAGGGAGTGATGGACATGTCGTATGACCTTGAGTTCAAGCCTCCTGACGGCCTAGTATTTCGTGGCAAGTACTTCTCACGCGGATACATTAGGGAGTTCTACAATAATGTACTTGAAAGGATTCACATGCTGTTGAAAGCTTTGAGCGCTTTTTGCATGTTACCTGATGTGCAGGCAGCAGCTATAAATGTGCTGGATAGTCCACACGCGTACTTCAATGAGAATAAACTGCAGCCCAAGCACTCTTTTGTCAGTCTATTTGGTCATGAAGAAGCCAAAGGACTGCTGGCCAAACCATTGGTCCGCGGAGAGCACGTTGTGGAAATGATCGACGAAGTTGCTACTCTGCTAATGTGGATGGTCTATTTTTCTTGTGGCAGTCCGTATCGATTTCCAGAGCTTCTGACTTTGAAATATGCAGGCGACGATCGCAACGTGTTTTTGGACGATAAGTCGCGGTGCATCCAGCTGCTGACAACGTACTCCAAGGTCCGTGGCTACAGAAAGATTATTAAAATGCTGGACAAGCGGACCTCCAACTATTTGTTCTATTTTATCATGGTATTACGACCTATACAGATTGATAT